CCAGCTCCTGAAAGAGCAGCCGCAGAGCCCACTCCAGAGAGAGCAGTCCCAGTGTCTGATTTAGCCCCTGAGCACAGTCCAGTGTCGGTTCCAGCCACTGAGGATGTTTTTAAGTCAATTTCTAAGTCTGATCCTGCTACCCATAAGGACATCCCAGTACCTGTCTCTGAGCCTATTCCCAAGACATCCCAAGACTCCTTCCCTGCCAATTCAGTCTTTGCCCCTAAATCTGTCACTGTTACCAAGCCCAGTTGGAAGTCCAGACTAGTTAGGCCGTCCCTGTATCTACAGGTGCCTCCAGTCAAGTTCCCATCCCTCCCTTCCCACCCTCTGTGTTTCCTAGTTATGGTTCCCCAAGGCCGGCACCTCCTTGGTCAGCCTTGAACTTTTTGCCTGGTCCTGTTCCCACCCGTTCTCTGTGTTTTCTGGCCAGTTTGGGACTTCCATGTTTACATGTGTACTGTTATTATGTATATAAATACACACACATGCATGTATATATTTAAAAAAATATGTTATGTTTATATATAAAATATCATATTTATATATAATATAAATTATATATGTGACCCTGGACCACAAAACCTCGCTTGGGTATATTTTTAGCAATAGCCAAAAAAACATTGTATGGGTCAAAATTATCGATTTTATTGATATGCCAAAAGTAAAGATCATGTTCCATGAAGATATTTTGTAAATTTCCTACCGTAAATATATCAAAACTTAATTTTTGATTAGTAATATGCATTGCTAAGAACTTCATTTGAACAACTTTAAAGGCAATTTTCTCAGTAATTAAAAGTGATTTTTTTTGCACCCTCAGATTCCAAATATTCAAATAGTTGTATCTCGGCCAAATATTGTCCTATACAAACAAGCCATACATCAATGGAAAGCTTATTTATTCATTTTCAATTTATAATTAAATCGACCCTTATGACTGGTTTTGTGGTCCAGGGTCACATATATATATATTTAAATATATACGTGTGTATTTATATATACATAACAAATATACACAGTACACACACATTCTGTATATATATATATACATATATATATATGCATAATAGACACACACACACATACTATTCCTCTCACCTCTGTAAATAACAATGAATATCACTTCATATATCACTACGTCGTAAAAAAGTGGCAGACATCAAACGTGCAAAACCGAAAATGTAATTTAGTCATTATAGGCGAATTGACATCAAGTTCAGTAATTTACACAGCCAAGGACGAGCACTACCTTACACTCAAGACTAAAGGAGGCACTATGCACTTTCAGTCAGAACTAATTGAGTGTATGCAAGATTCATCAGACTTTTTAATGAGACTTAGCATAGAGAGAGATTAAAAGCTAGTTTCCACTGGTGGTCTTCCATTCCACTGAGCATTCTAATTGGACGCAAAACGTAATGTCCAAACAGTGTGTTGAACCATGTCTTGCCGGGAAGAATATTTATCAGAGCACTGACTGAACTTTCACAGTGGATAAATGCAGAAGCACAAAATGACAATAAATACTGCAAAACAATCGCTTAATTTATAAAGAAGGCTAAATGATTTCTGCACCCTTCCTGGCTTACTACATTATTTTAGTGAAACTTCAACTAAGCTTAGAGTTATACATTTTGCTATATAAGAACCTTCCACCTACTAAATTTATAAATTGAGTTTACATCAGGGCATTTTAGTAAGCAATCACTTCACAACAATTTTAATTTTTTCATGGCCATGGGACATAAAATGTCCTGTGGAGTAAAAAGGGTAAAAATTGCTACATGGCAGCACTCTGAGATGCAATCAAACAGATAACCTCTCTGTTTTGAACAAAGAGATTGAAAGATACACTTATTTTTACCGGCTTGATGGAGACCTTTCATGTCTGGAGATGTTTTTCAGATTTGTTTCTGAGGTCATTGACATTAACAAACAACTCAGCCTCCTCATTTTATTAGAATCGCGCCATTCATTTATCAGACATGGTTGGTTAAAAATGTAAAATATATATATATATATATATATTTATATATGTAGGGCCGTAGGGGGGTGCAACTGGTGCGGTCGCACCGGACCCCACGCTTGAGGGGGCCCCGCGGCGAATGGACCGAGGGGGGACCATCCCCATATATATATATATATATATATATATATACACTGTTTCAATATCTGACCTATAGGGAGCCTTAATCAACCTTTATTCTGAGATACCTATATGTCAACCTAAAGTCATTTGCCGTTTTAGAACTGTTGTTTGCCAGATCGTATGATTTGACCCCAGTGAGATCTCGGGTAAAAGCTAAAACACACTGTTCCACAACAACTGTCAGACTGTATAATGTACATTTTAGCTAAGACTTTGGTCAAAGCTGACAGCATTGACTGGGCAAAGTCAACAGCCTGTGTCCATTCTGACATCTTAAATTGAAATGGTATCTTACAAACCAAAGCAAGACTTTGTTTTGGAAAATCTTTGCTTGAAAATATTAACATTCATGTTCTCTTACACACACATATATTACCAACTGCTGTTACTATTGATCCTTCATTCAATTTTGCCCTATAAGCAAAGAAATACTTTATGATCCCCAAAATTTGTCTCCTACGACACAATAATGCCAAATAAAATGTACAGTGAGCATCCAAATTAAAAGGTTTCTTGGGTCTACCACTAGTGATATTTACACATTTATAGAATCCTCTAATAATCAGCATGATAATGTTGAATCAATACAACATAACATATATCTCTGTAATGATCTGGTCACGCCAATGCCTTGTCAATAATAGCATTCTGCTTGAGAGTCTAGAAAATCAGATAAATCAATATGAAACAGTATATAAGGACTGTTCCTTGTTTAATGTTTTTGGATGGTGTGCTGGCCAAATTATAAATCACAGGATTGAATTCCACACTAGCACTCCAAATGGAGGAGTACCTTTCTTCTGACAAATATATTTTACCATTATTATCATCATCATTACTAATTTTGCCAGACATTTGGCAAACCTAAAGGACACTTAAAATACGCTTGAGCAAGTTTTTTTTTTTTTAATTACTGTCTTTTCTGATTTCTTTTACAACACTGCCACAAGGCAAAATGTCTGAGTTCATGGTCTGTACATGCTTTTTTATACTCAGGGGAATATTCCTATTGTCTGCATGTCACGACAAAAGTCAGAGTTAAAATGGAGACAAATGTAGCATCTCACTGCCTTGTATGATGGGAGGCTATGCTCGAAGGCTATTCTCAGTGTCCTTCTTGTGACCACTACTAAATTACCACCACTAAACTAACCATTATTTCTCCTGAGCACACAGGCTACATGTGAAAGAACCTAGGAGGGTGGGCAGGCTAACGCTCAGCTCCACGGAGCCCCTGGTCAGCCCTCAAGGCTGTGAAAATGCTCACTGAAGATTTTGCAAATCTATCTGCAATGGGAAATTAATGAGAAAAATCCCAGGGGGTGCTCTGTCAAAGTAACTCAGGCAACAACGCAACAGGCAACAGGACTCAAATGAGGCCATCCAACCTGCTGTGAGCACTGGTAGTCATCTTAAACAGCTAATGCTTAAAGACGCCTTAATATTTTCAATTTAATTGTAAATAGTGACAATGTGGGTAAGCTTGACTTACATGCTTTGTAAGAAGCTGCTTTCCCCCCAAAAAAAGTTAACACTGGGAGTGTAAAGGGAGGCCATGAGCTGTTCGCCATCTGTAATAAGATGGCCGTCACAGGTGCACGTTAGTCGAGACGTTGCAGGGCTAATTCATCACTCTCAGTTTCTCTTGGCAACAGCTACATCTTTTACTTACTACTTATTTGTTCAAGATTCCCCTTTGGACATCTCTGATAGATACCATGATATACAGTATGCCAAATCGCCACCTCTATTATAGTTTTATCAGACTGTAGCTCAACTATTGGAAAAGCTGCCGGCCTACAATGTTTTTTTTTTTAATAATTTCTGCTTGCAAGCCAAAAATGCACACACAACGCACACATATATTTTCTGGTTCTAAAAATGAGTATATAACCCTCGTGATTATACATTAACATATTATCTCAATAATATGTGATTGTCCTGAGCTGACTGTCTGTTTATAAGATTGTCTCTTGAAAAACTGCTAATCATTTTCTGATTTTCTGTAAAGCAACCTTGCATACTAGAACATTTAAAATTGCTATATAAATGTGACATATGAAAAAAAAAGTATTATTGTTTTATTAAAAAATACTTACATTTAGAATAATTAATCTTTAGGTCACATAATAATTTCATTTTTCATCTAAACAGGTCTACAATACTGTTGGGGTGACAGAAATAATGTTTTTATTTTAATCCTACCTAAACTGAATATTGTGCCACTGGCATTTCTATTAAGATAAGCTGTCATTGGATGTTGTTTACTGATGATGTGATAGCATTTTTTTCCTGCAACACGTTGGGCACCTGCTGCTTTACTTGTATTCATGAAACGTGCCAATAATTCAACGTCAGCACCTCCCAAGGGTACAGCAAAGATTGAGAGGTTGCCAAATCTCCGAATATTAGAAACAATGCATATATCTACCTTGAATCAAACAATATCTAGCTCTGATATATGTGGCCTTTAAAAACGGAGGAGAATTGTTTTGAGAATTATTTTGAAATTATGACGTATATAGATTTAAGTTGAATACGTGGTCTCATTACTCAATGGTCTTATTACTGACTTAATTTGCGTTAAAAAAATTAAAAAAAAAACAGATTTGCAGACTGATGGAAATAAGAACAGTCTGTCAAAGAAATCTGTCAAGACACAACACAAGTCTTATACAAATCCTATAAGCTATTTTCGTCAAGATAAACAGCAGCTCCATGCCACAAGTCCCTTGTTGTCAAAGCTGAATGTGAAAATTAAATGTGGGCGTATATTATCTCAAGACATTAAATATAGCATAGACTTCTTATGTGCACAATTACGGTTCGTGTACGGAACTTCCCACACCTTGTCGTCGAAGTCTGCGTTTCCTGAGGCCGAAGATTCGCACTTTGGAGAAGATGTCGACCAGGTTCCCATTGCAAAGCCCTTTATTCTTATTGGGGCTTTTTCTCCTTCTGTTGGTGGATGGTCGGTCTATATGCTGCTCCCGTGCCTGTCTCTTCTGGCGGATCAAACCGCTGGCAATCGCCGCTGCCATGTCTCAAAAACAGGGCTGTTGAACTCCACACACAAAGCACAAACAACAACAACAAACCGCCCGATCGGTCTCAATTAGTGTCCCATTTTTGCGACTGTTTGTGTGCTCTGCCCTCTGAAATGCACAGCTGATGATCAAAGATATCCACACATCACGACTCGCGAAATAAGACACTGAATTAGCATAATGAATACAAAGGTGAAGTGTTACTCAACTGTCCGTATTTCACATGTTGTCCAATTTTCATTTCGAAGTCACGCGGCTCGCAGGTTACTTTTCATTCCTGATTTCACGATGCTTTTCGGAAAATGATTATCACATGAGTTGCCCGGCTCCTCCGAAATATAGAATATGAAAATATATTCACGGCACGCCTGAGCGTCTCTCTGATCCGTCACTTTCCTTCCTTTATTTTTGACCTGGTCCTGGTGAAATTCAGCACCCTGGGCAGCGACGTCCACTCCCGGAGTCTGAACAAACAAAACGTTTTTCGTTCTGAGCTGTCAAGCGGAGAAACGCGACCACCTTCGTCTCCCAGGTGCAGCCCTGCGACTACACATATTCATATGTCTCACATATTTACCCAGTTTAGCAGATATCCACGCCAGTTCCGTTCAAACGTCCACTCATCTTGAGAATAACCGACGGCGTAACGACGGTGAGTTGAGGTAAGTTTGAACGAAGGTGTTTCTTGTTGATAAGGGATCTCCTCAGACGATCACCCCCCATTCAGTCTCATGTTCTAGGTCGCGTGGTTATTCAATAACGATGTGCGTTTTTTCCTGTTCTAAAGCAGCATGTCTTCTGAGGGGAAAATGTAAGCAACACTGAGCGGCTCCGGTGAGGATGACGTCTACCTGGTGTGACAGGAACGAAAAAATAAATAAACTCAAATAAAAAAGTATTTGCCCGAAGCGGGAGCATACAAATGCGCAGCATAAGTGCTAACGTTAGCCAGGAAAGAAAACGTATTCAAGAAATGCTCCTCTTCATCCTCCAGCTCGAGCTCAGCGTCTCCAGCCGTTTGGCGCGAGTGAAGCGCACGCGCTTCCCGCCTCAGCCTCCATAGATCAACGGCATCAACAAGTCTTAACGACCACGCGCTTCCCGCCTCAGCCTCATAGATCAACAACAAGTCTAAACGACAAACTCCTCCTTTGCCATCGTTTCAAAGACGAGAAAAACCCACCCTTATGTCCGTACATATTTGCATTTTCTGTGCTGATAAGATTCAAACGTGCCGATGACAACATTTAGATATTTCAAAAAATTATGTATCTAATACAATTGGTCTAATAGCCTAGTGTTTACAGAAGCTGATTGGAAGGCGCCAGACAGATAAACGGAATCAACAAGTCTTAACGACAAACTCCTCCTTTGCCATCGTTTCCGAGACGTAAAAAACCCACCCTTCACTTGATGTCCATACAGATCTGTATTTTCTGTTTACGAGCTGAGAAGAGCCGATGACAACATTTAGATATTTTAAAAAAATTATCTAATAGAATTTACCTAATAATGTTTATAGAAGCTAGTTGGTAGGTGCCAGAAATATTTATAAATAAATATAGACATATAGAAATATATTCAGATGGCCAAATTTATAATTAGGCTATTCGAATTACAAATAACAGAAAAACACGTATTTTAAAGTGCGTGTATTAACGACAATCAAGCAATATGTTTTTTGTTTAGTTTTTTGAGACAGAAAGCCTGAGACTTCAATGTCTAAGAAATTAATTTCACTTAACTCCACCGACACGCCCCACGAGAGCAAAATGAAGAAGAACTAGGCTACATCACACCTCTGAGGTACTATTGAGACCCCCAGTGCTTTAGACAAACACACCTATGTATCGCATTGCATGGATGAGTGCCTGCTTTTTGCTAAGGCCTACATTTATCTGTCGCCTGTTTCTTTAATCATATGGTAATGAGTGTTGCTATAAGGGCTGGGGTGCTCATTTAATATCATGCCCCAATAACACAGAGTATTTTCTCATTTAGTTTAATATCACCAGAGAAACACAATCACAGAGGAGGAATTAAAAAAAAGAAAAACTCAAGAGGGCCATCTGCTGTTTGTCGCTGCAATGAAATTCAGTCTTTCATCCCCCTGCTGTTTTTCAACCCCTTCCACTAAATAGACTGGCAATGTAACTCTGGAGTGGTATTTCCAGACCAGACACTGCTTGAGCAGATTAAAGGGAAAATACAAAAATATATGGAACATGCAATTAAATCTAACAATATATACGTTACATGCATAGACTTTCGCAAAAGCCATTTTGCATTAAAATGGGGGGAAATGACCTTATTAGCATACCTGAATAAACCATACCAGCACGGATATACTAGATTGCTAAAATAATGAGAGCTTAAACTGACTGCATCATTGCCGGTGGAGCAGCCACTGCAGTTTGCGCATCCGCCAGCAGCGGACACTGTCAGCTTAACTATGTCTCTAATTATTTACAATAGCACAGACAGATCACTAGGTTTCATGACTAAGCCATTAACAAAGACATCTATAATTCATTTACATTCAAATGTTAATATATTTGAAAATGTATGAATCAAAATGACTTTTTGAATGGCTTATATATGAAAGCTGTTAGTATATGCAAAAAAGAAAAAAGACAAGCAGTAACGTATTAAAGCCTAAACAGAGGTATTACAGTCTAACATCACTTTGTGCACAGAAAAAGAACAAGAGGTTATGCAAAATTTTAAAAAAAGGTAATCAATGAATCTGCGGTACAAACTACTAAAAAAAAAAAAAAGACAGAAAGAACATGCCTGTAGCGTATTTTGAGTTCCTAGCTGAGTCTCAGTATTGAAATGAATACAGAAATGGTTGGAAATGGATCTTTTCGCTTCAGAAGCATTTACTCAAAATAAAAGGAAGCGTTCAGACGGCAAATGGACTACACAGAAAAAACCCATGACAAAAAGACAGACCAAATAGGGAACAGGAATTTAAATTCTAAATCAACTCGCACACACAAGTGATTACTGTATGCCTTTAAAAAACGACAACTGCATTGTCATCAATATGAGAGTGTGCACATACCTACATGCTTTCTCCTTCTGAACGTATGAGACTCCATAGCAAACCCATTGCACATTCAGCCAAGGTAACAGCGCATTTCCCTGCCTGGCTGTCAATGGCACGGCCCCATTTATAGGGTCTATACTTACAGATAACATTATTAGTAAGATCTGCCCCAAACAATTGCTGTTCAGCCAGCTGAGGCGATCTCCTCTGAGGCTTCAGAGGCAAATTTTTAAATAACAATGTTTCACTTTGAACTTTTAATGATGATGAGCTGAAATGAACTATTTTGCTCAAGTTTACCTAGATTTTAATGTGGAGGCACCCATGCGGACACAACAGCACAGCTCAAAGATCATAAGAGAACAGATGTGTAATTCAGGACAAGCATTTTTGATGTAGAACTAATTAACTGCTACATAAAAGTGAGTCAACTCCAGCCTCCCACGCTGTCCTCCACCTGTCTTTTATGAACATTAGCTGACAAGATGAATGAAACATGAAAAGATGAATGGTCATTCTAGTAAATGCCATTCGATACAATACATGCAAAATCAAAGAGAATGGAGAGCTAGCCTTTAAAAAAAATAACATGAGATGACTGCAACTTCTGTTTAAATGCAGCGCTCTGAAGCTGTCCACATATTAAAGGGAAAGAGACGGATGAGATAGCGGTGGCAGGGAATAAGAAATACAAATTCACCAAAGCCCAGTGGAGCGAAAAGAAAAGGAGAACTACATCTTACTTCAAGAAATGTCACAGCAGACAGAGACACCAAATAAACAAGTCGATCATTTGTATCACTATGGAAGGCTTTAGGGCCGTCTGGCTTTTATTAGCTGTCATGATGACAGCAGTTGTAAATTGGACTTAACATCATATGCGCTGAGACAAGAGGAAAACAGGAGAATTAGCACTTTGTTTAAATCAAATTGTTTCACACTGTTGGGGTGGAAGAGAGAGCTTAATTAAATTCAGGAGATAGTAATGATGTTTGGTTAGAGTTGACATCTGGGTTTAATCGGCTTGGTGAAATGTCACCGTTCTGAGAAGATGATGACACTGAGGAAGACACTGAATGTGGTGGTGAATGTAGTATTTTGCAGAGAAATCTCACCATGCCATACTGTAATGGCTTAGGCTAATAAAGCAGACTTGAACAAATCACAGGATTAAAAGGAAAATGAGAAATGAGTTTTCTGCTTAAATGGCAGAGAATGACTTTCTCTTTCATATCGAGGGGATTATTGGATATTAAAAGAGAGGCATTTGAAAAAAACAATCTCATGCTCTCATTTTCCTGATAGTTTTTTTTCTTCTGCTACAAATTTATAGACAGCTATTCTGAGTCATAAACAACACTAAAGCAATATTCTTGTAATTCTGGTGATATTTTGTCTAAAAAACATTTGTATTTTCTGGATGACATTGCTATATTCCTCATACTATTTTGTATGCAGTATGTTTACTGTGCACAGTTTGAAAAAGTTCTGTCTGCATGGAAGGACCTACTACATTTGGCAAAATATGCAGTACACATGCAGAGGACACTGCGTGGGATTTTGTAGCCCACAATGCAGTGCACTCAACTTCACCTTTTACTTCCAATGTGATTAACAAACCAAAAGTAATATTATGATTTTAATATCTTTAATTTTGAGTCACTATTTAATAAGACTGCCAAAAGTGAAGACATGTTTACACAAAACATTAAAAACACAAAATAATCATATTTTCCTATACTGTTTTAAACATTTATTGTTGCATTCTGTTTCTACATTTTTAATCTGTACATATTTGTTTATAAAAATTGTATGCAGTATACACTGCAAAATCAACTCTAAAAATGAATTTAATCTGACTGTATTGCAAAGAATACATCAAACCTGATTCTCTCACTTTAAGTAAAATTCAGAAACTGATTTGTATAGCTTGTATGTGCAAGCCAGTGTTACTCTGT